TCCGTGTCATGGTCGGTCCATGGAATGTGGGCAGAGCTCCAGGCCAGTATCCATTCTTAATTTGAAGTCCCTCCATGTGTCTGACGGCGAAGGGCGGATCATCCACCCCAGATAGGCAAGGTAGGAGATATAGTGGAATGGTTGAGTAGCTGTTGAGAGCCTGAAATGCTTCCACAAAGTTCCTCGGTCCTTCGGGAGAGGGAGACCGCGCTAAGCCAGACGATGGACCACCTGCTGGGCTTCTGTCCATCTAGTCTGATCGCCCTGGCTGGTTAGTTAAATCACAGCCCCATCACTCAGCCATGTTCAGCTGGACTAGCAGAGCGATGCCGTGATCGGATTCCGACGACTTGATCCACGGTAAACGAAATAAACTTGATCTCCAGCCATCTGGGGTGATCGTCGTTATGATGCTAATCATGAACCCAAAGCAGTAAAAGGGCGAGGTAGACTGAGGTCATTCTGAATTAATCCATGGGGGCCGGGGAGTCTTTGGGAAAGCCTCTATGCAGCGCATGGCCAGCCGCTGCATTGATTGACGGTCGGACAGATGGAGAGCGCCCAACATTGGGTCGTTCGGCGCACAGTAGACAAACCTAAGGGCGCAACCTTAATGAGCGGTGGTTCATAGCCAGTACTCGGCGGGGAATGAAGACGCCAGCTCAACGGCGATGCATCACCTAAACGGACAGGACAGTACCTGCAGGAGGCAAACACGACTGATATTCGAGACAGATAAGTTACAAGGTGGACCACTGAATCGCGCTGTCTGTGAGCGAGTGGAAAATGCGGTGTACAGTACACCACTCAATCATGCCCGAGAAGACAACACTCCCTACCGCACTCTGGCCTAGAAATTCTCCGACCGTTGCGAATGATGAGGAATCACATCGATTCTGGATTTGTGCAGCTCTTGGGGGCTCTCGCCCTCTTGTTTGGCGTTTCGAAGTCCAAACACCGTCCAAGCACCATCCTGGATACTTAAGCAGCAAGTCACCATTTCCAGTGCGAGCCGATTAGGTCCAGGCAGCCTCACATGATCGATTCTTCATGCATGACAACGCAGCTCACATGGGGGTGAGGTGCAGCAACTGCAGATAGGACTTTGGGGGAGGGGAAAGGGTGTGGAATACCCTGTCAATCGGTATGGAGCTAAACGTACTGTACCATGTCTTGCAGACCGTATTACAGCTGTACGGTAATTTACCGCCATCATACCGCCAAATTTCGGTATAGCACGCAGTGTCTGGCTTGACTGATTGATTGATCGAATAGCACTTAATCAAGGTATGACGACCTAAACTGATTCCGATCCAGTCAGGCCCACTTTCATTGACCGGCTCGACTAGAGATCGGGGGCCCGCAATACTGGAATCATGGCGTGGTCAACCTCAACGAGTTCGCTGCACCGTACAACCGAAGCCTGCATCAGCATAAGACAAAGTAAGAAAAAAACAGGACGCATATGGTTATGCTGGGATGGGTAACTCAGATAGGTTTGGTCTGTATGTCAGCAAAACAGTGCGTCGATTGCGTCGAACCGAGAGCCATATCCCTCACCCCAGTCGGATCCTGCCACGACATACTCCCTCTCAGACACAACAGATGGCCCAACGACTAGTGTCCTGAGATGTGCATCCAGAGGCGGGGAGAGGGTGAGGGGCAAGCTACACATGCGTGTACCCTCGCCGTGAGTACCTAATTCGTACCCTATGGGGAGGGAGTTGCTCAGGTGGCAAATCAGTGCGGCCCACTGAGGTGAAAATTGGTTGGAGTGTTTGTTGTTATTGGTGGACGGGGAGGTGGAAATCTGTGTTCTTTTGGGAATTTCATGCATTAGTTCAGAGGTATAGATCGGGCATGTTGAGGAGAAGCGTTCTTTACTTTGGATGCAGTGTACTGCTTGCTACTTAGTACGCAGTGTAGGAGGACAGCTGGAGAGCTGGAGAGAGGGTCGAATGCTTCCCTTGACTGTTCAATGCGCCTTCTCTCTCGTGCTTATGCTTGAGGGTACTGTGCATTGATACTAAGGAGATGGTACTTTTTACCTTTGCTATGACAACGTCATATGCTGTTTATAGATTGCAATTAACTAGTCCAAAAGGTTTGACCAGAGTAGTCAGGCTGTGCCTGTACTGGATCGCTGGTTGCAAGTCGATTGATTGCCTGAGGCCAGAACTAGACCAATATGCTGCGGTGAGCTCTACTGTCTATTACCATCGATTGGATTTCAGAAAAGAACAAAACTCAAGAGCCATCACCACTTCCAGATTACAAAGAAATCGGAACGATAATCTGTCTTCTCGAAACTCCAAATTAGCATTGTACTACAACAATGATTTTCTGATCATGTTCCCCCGATGTTGGATTCTTCATGCTTCATTCCCTTAGCTACTGCATTGGGGCAGAACGCCGTCTCAGAGGTTGCTTGTCAGGTGCTCGTGTATTAGGATATGGCTGGGTGGATGTGGGGTTTGCATTTTATGCAGCTCATGTATGCAACTGAGCCAATGCCAGTTCAACTGTACATGCATCAGGATGTGGAAATGGTGGATGAGGATTATAAGAAGTAAGGTAGTTTTCCCTACATCTCGAATTTACATCTCTAATCTATATTGCTAGTATGGAGATGTGAGCTTGTCCGTTCAGGGTCTTCGAAGCTGAGAGTGCAGTGGATGTAGCTGATATAGCTTGGTTCTGTGAGTACAATACAGATGAAGGTCGAGGCAATGGTATGCCTCAAGGGCTGGTGATGCTGTTACGTAGGGTGCTTTTGGGTGTTGGGTGCACCGCGTGAGGAAGTCGTTACTGAGAAGCTGCTTGCATTAATCTAGAGTATACCGTTTCTTACTTCGAACCAAGTGTGCAAAACATGCATATGTATGAGTCTCCAGCTCCAGCTTACCTCTTTTTAAACGCAACTATATCTGTACCCAACAAGACACCCCAGGTCCGTCTTTTGGATCAAAGCAAGGTAGAGTCCACCCGTCTACATATGTGTACATTGACACCTGCAAACATTACCTGCCTCCCCCAAGTTTCTAGCCTGCAGCTTCCAGCTTCCCGATTATCTTCAATGATAGTGACCAGAACTTTTCTAACCCAACAGTGTAAAAGCAGAGAACCCACACCCACCAACACCTACAGTGTACAGTGTACGGTTACTGTGCATGAATATACACACATACACATACATACATAAATATATATATATTTATATACATATATATATATGCATGTATATATGCAGTGCAGTGCATGCATGCAACTACAGTACAGTAACAGTAACAGTAAGCAAGCATCTATCTTGCATCCGCATCCTCTTTCTCGACCTCAGAATCGAGGTTCGATGATTGACTGTCCTTTTTTAGGGGGGTGCTACGGTGGATATGGGCTTTCCCCATTCCCCCTTGCTTCTTCCACCATGCATCCTGTGTGCATGAAAGGATTTTTCGCTTGGGGAGTGCTTTTGCATGCTTGGGGGAGAAGTTGGGTTGGGAAAGGGGGGGTGGGGGGTGTACTGTACTGTACAAGGACTTTTCATGGGTGTATGCTGCTGGATCGGGTTCTTTTCTTTTCTTGCTTTTCTGTTGTTGGTTGTTGCTTTTGAATTGGTCCCTGAGGCTGCGTGAGCTTGCGGTGTTGGATGATTCGGAATGTCTGTGTCTGCTGTGTTTTGATGGAGAAGTTGGTCTTCTGCTTTTGTTCTTCGCGAGGGTTTCCAAGAACCAAACGGTGCGGCTGTCTTTGTTTGCTGCTGATCTGACCATGCGTGGGAAAGAACTTGAGTATAAGCTGGGTAGGCTCAGGTTCGAGCTCACAGGAGGTACTGGAGGATACAAGGCTGCAGCTGGTTGGCGATTGGAGGTGCTTACCTACGTGTGCATCGGTTGTATCCAGTGTCCTGAAGGTTAGTATGTAGGTTATGTGAGTACCCAGATCTCATTCGTATTCTGTACTACCGCCTCTACCACCACCACTATTACTGCTAAGTGTTAGGCTCTCAGGGATGCATGTAGATGAGATCCAGCCCGCCAGGGGGTTTATCTGTTTTGTAAGCATGCAGCGGATGGATTTGCGAAGGGGATCGGCTCTGCTCTGCTCTGCTCTTAGTATTCATGCATGTAGCCCTGAGGTTGTGTAACTTGTTCTTTTTTACTCTCTCTCTCTCTCTCTCTCTCTCTCTCTCTCTCTCTCTCTCTCTGTCTCTCTCTCTCTCTGTCTGTCTCTTGCTCTGTGCGTGCGTGCGTGTGTGTCTTCACTTGGGTACTGGTAAAGTGCATAAGGCGTTGGATGAGCCTACTGTAGTCCGTGTCTCTGTCACCGGCAGTGAGTTTTGTTGTGAGATTCTCTTGGTGTAGTCTTGTTGTCCATTGTCGGTATAGATTCTGTAGTGTTGAGCGTAAAGATCTCGCATGTCGGGTCGTATACACAGGCCTAGATCTACAGTACATACATTTCGCTATTTTCGTCGTCTGGCGGTTCTACGTCTCTCCATGAGGGTTGGATAAAGAAACACAGAAGTCAGATTCACAGTTCCCCCACAAATTGCGCAGGGAAAAAGAGAGGAAGGAATTTTCAAAAATAGTCTCATCAATCCGATCAGAAGATTGGCAATAACTACAAAACTTATGTATGCTCCGCCAATCCGACTAGGCCACATCGTCGCCCAATGCTTAGTTCTCTTCTTACAGACACGAAGATGCTGTACTGCGCAAATCAAGGCAAGACATTTGGGTGTTCACCAGTCATGCTGGGCTGGTCACGGTCACTGTGAGCGAGAGGGGCGAGGAGTAATTTGTACGACCCGATGATCTGGCTGCCTCTTCCCTTACCTTTTCATCTCGTTGTTTTACTGCGTCTCGTTCGCATCAGAACTGAAGAAGAAGGCGATAAGAAACATATTTCCGACTTTTGCTTGTTGCTTTTGGTTTTATTGCATTGTGTTGTTTTTTCCTCGTTTTTTGTTTATCGTACAGGAGCAGCTCATTTCGCAAAACCTAAAGCTTGGACCCCATGTTCACGTGGATGGCCTTGACCTGCGAGTAAGCCTCCAGGCCGGACTCGCCCAGCTCGCGACCGATACCGCTCTGCTTGACACCCCCAAACGGCACGCGGAAATCACTGTCGTTGCTGCTGTTGATCCAGACCATGCCGGCCTCGATCTCCGAGGCGACGCGGTGGGCGCGCTCGATGTCCTTAGTGAAGAGGGCAGCGCCCAGCCCGTAGGTACTGTCGTTGGCGCGGGTGACCGCCTCGTCCTCGGTCGTGAAGCTGGAGATGACGACGAAGGGGCCGAAGACCTCCTCGCGGTAGATGCGCATGTGGTCCTTGACGTCGGTGAAGATGGTCGGGGCGATGAAGAAGCCCTTGTTGCCGGCGACGTTCTTGTGGGGCTCGCCGCCCGCCACGAGCGTCGCGCCCTCAGACTTGCCGGCTTCGATGTACGACAGGATCCGCTCGTACTGGGCCTGGCTGACCTGCGGGCCCTGGAAGGTGTCGTCCGCGAAGGGGTCGCCGACCTTGCTGGTCGTGGCCACCTCCTGCTTGAACAGGGAGACGAACTGGTCGTAGACCGACTCGTGGACCAGGATGCGCGACGTAGCGGTACACACTTGGCCCTGGTTGTACATGATCCCGGTGTGCGCCCACTTGGCCGCCTGCTCGATGTCGGCGTCGCCGAACACGACCAGCGGCGACTTGCCGCCGGTCTCGAGGGTGATGTTCTTCAGCGTGCCGGCGGCAAGCTTCATGATCTCGCGGCCGGTGATAGTCGAGCCCGTGAAGGCGACCTTGTCGACGTCCGGGTGCGTGACCAGCGGGCTACCGGCGACGCGGCCGTAGCCGTTGAGGATGTTGACCACACCGGGCGGGAAGCCCGCTTCCTTGATGAGCTTGGCCAGGTAGAGAATGCTGAGCGGGGTCTGTTCCGCCGCCTTCATCACCACGGTGTTACCGCAGGCGAGGGCCGGGCCCAACTTCCACGCGGCCATGGCCAGCGGGAAGTTCCAAGGGATGATCTGGCCGACCACGCCGATGGGCTGACGGAGGGTATAGGCGAACTTGGCCGGAGTGGTGCTGATGGTCTGGCCATGGATCTTGTCCGCCCAGCCGGCATAGTACCGGAGACAGCTAAGGACCTCACCGAGATCGTCGTTTAAGGAGACGGAGTACGGCTTGCCTGGAAACGGTCAATATCACCACCCAGAGACTTTGCATGCTGCTGCTGCCGCCGGAACAAGGCCACTTACCGTTGTCCCATGTCTCAATAGTGGCAAGTGTCTCCCGGTGCTGCTCGATCAGATCCGCCAGCTTCAGCAACAAGTGGCCGCGCTCCGTCGCAGGCAGCAGCTTCCACGACGGATCCTTGAGAGCCTTCCGGGCCGCCTTGACGGCGACATCCACGTCCTCCGCATCAGCAGCGTAGACGGAGACAATCTCCTTCTCATCGCTAGACGTTCGATCAGCACAAGCTTCCGCCGTCGCATGGGTTATTGCGGATAACCTACGAAGGGTTGATGGAGGCGAGCTTCTCGCCCGACTTGGAGGGGACGAATTCGTTGTTGATGAACAGACCGATGGGCTGGTCATACTGACGCCCATTGGGCGCAGTCAATTGCACACTCACGTTACTGCTGGTCATGTTGGATGGGGTACTGTGGAGGGAGTGGCAGGGTACGAGGGGAGATAGAGTGCGGCAAGGAGTGGAGAGAGGAGAGCGGAGAGGTGCAGCTGGAGAGAAGAGAGGGAGCTGACGACAACCAAGGCGGGGGAGTCGAGAGGCGATGCAGAGGGGAGAGAGGAGGGGCAGACGTGGCATTGACCGTGGAGGGGAGGGGAAGAAGAGAAGGGGTAGAGGACAATCGAGGATGGGGGTGGGTTAGAGGGGAGGTTGACTTTATAATAACCTTGGAGGAGCTGGAGCTTTAGTGAGTGAGTGAGTGGCTTATCGAAGCTAACCTTGAAGCAGTCCCCGCAATTGCACCGCTGGGTTCCTGAGGCTTCAGGCTCGCCATCCCCGCTGGAGGCGATAACAGCCGCATCCCAACGAATCAGCGTTGTCGTGCTCGAGCCAAGTCGCCCCTCTTCGGATAGACTTGCTCTTCCCGGCCCAGCTATATACATAGTATTTATTAACTTACAATATAACTATTACTATCAAGTACTCAGTCAATATCACTTGAATGGAATTGTGGTCTGCTTTGATCACACTCACAATCGGGTCTGGCAAAGTCCCCAAGACAAGAAGCAACCCCCTCAGAGTCTTGACTCGACTCGTACATGCTCAGTTTGCATTGGGAATATCCAATCAGCGTCAGTGTTGGGGTATGCATCGCTGTCCAGTGTCTCCCATCTACTCCAACCGCGGATGCGGCGGAGACGCCAATAAAACCGAGACTGCAACCCCAGCAGCCATCCATGATATGATTGACAAAATGCTGCCTCGCTTCACAACCACAATAGCAAGGGATCACTTCTTACAGTTTACAAATCATGGGATCCACAAATGAAAAATGTCTTGTAGAAACGCCCATTGATTGTACATAAATCCGGCTTTACCGACGTGATGTTACCCATGACCCGAAAGTTCATCCCCCAACCTGCTCTGAAAGGACATACAATAAGTTTACCAGTTTATTCGCTTGGTTGCGGCGCTTCCTCGGGCTTTTCAGTAGAGTCGCCCTTAGGAGACTCAGTCGACTCAGTCGACTCAGTCGCTTCAGTCGCTTCAGTCGCTTCCTTGGCGTCGTTTGCTTCGGCCGCCTCAGGCGTCTCGGTCGTCTCGGCTTCCTTATCTTCGACTTCCTCTTCTTCAGCAAGCCCCAAGATGAACTCCCATTCCTCGGGTCTCACAGACGACACACTCAGCCGGGACTGCTTCAGCATCTCAAGGTTCGCCAGCGGCTTTCCAGGAGCCATGTGTTCCTTAAGCTGACTCAGGGCCACGAGGTTCTTGAATTTGCGTCGAAACTCCACCCGGACCGCTTCCCACTTGGGTTTCTCGCGCTTCGACTTGGCGTCGTAGTAGGGGTGGGCAGGATCAAAGGCCGATTCTGAAGTTACATCACCGTCAGCCAACCATCTGGCACCTGGGGTAGGTCTTCTCACCATCGACAAAATGTTCTTCCACAATCTCCATGACGCCGGCAACTCCGGGTACTCTGCAGTTGGAGTGATAGAAGAAGGCCTGGTCACCCTTCTTCATGGCCCGCATGTGTCTCTGCGCTGTTCAGAGAGTCAGTTGCTGATACCTGTGCCAAAGCTCTCGCTCACTACTCACCAGACGGGTTCCGTACACCTGTTGAAGTGTTAGCATTGAGACAGCAGGATTGGCCAACAGCAAGGCAGACCTACCATCCCAGGCCTCTGGCTCCGTGCGTTCGCGGAGATCATCGATAGAAAACTTGACATCAACACCCTTCTCCATACGGCTCTCCGGCTCTGCCTTCATCAACCAGTACGAGGGTCCCGAAGTAGCCTTGACTGGGGTAGGCAACTCGGCCGACGCAGTAGACTTGGCTGAGGCAGCGGACTTGACTTCTGGCGATTCTGTTTTAGATTGTTTGGGGGTCGATTTGCTGGTACCGTTCCGCGAAGGCGTCAATGTCGGCTTCGAGTTCGGCGACGACTTCCTAGGCCTACCCCGGCCGAAAGTGCCATCCGATTTGGGTGTCTTGGGCTTGGAGGGAGTGGAGACTGTTGCAAAGTTAGTCGACGGCTCAGTGTGGACGGACCAACGTTGTGTTTGCCCGCAACTCGTCTTTAAGCTGGGCAGTGACCCGTAGAAGCAGGAGTTTTGTGCAGAAGGCACTGACCAGAGTTGGGGTCTTTACGAGGCCGACCGCGACCTCTTTTGGGGCCATCCGGGCGCTTGGGAGTCGAACCCTCGGGATACTTCCTGGGGCGACCTCTCTTTCGTTTCTCGCTGTCGTTTGGCGTATCTGGCGCAACCTGCCCGTAAAAATATAATGTTAGTTTGGATTGATGATGGGAATTGGTTTGGAGAAGCAGAAGAGCATTTCCAGTGGCGGGCGACGCGCACGAATAAGAGGCACGGGCCGCCCCTCATCGCGATCCTGCTCGCGTTGGAGCTCGAATCGTGTGGTGGGAAGGGATAGATGGATGGTGAGCGTACTCTCTTGGCAGCTGGGGCACTCTCTTCGGCGAGGGACGCGCTCTCCGACTTCCGCTTCCGCTGGGGAGGCATGGTGTGCTGTCCAGAGAACAGAGAGGAAATGCGGGCGAAAAAAGCCAGGACAGTTGATTGACGGAGGAGAAGGAGAGACCTATGAAAGATAAGAAAGGAAGAGAACTGAACCACCAGTGTCAAACAATCCACAAAAGCCAGAGGGAGAAACAAAGACGGGGAAGTGTGGAGGTGAATTGGGGGAGGATGAGGAGCTGAGCTATAGGACGGAGGCAGAGGCGATCGCCGTAACACGGAAACTCAGACGCGTCTAAACACACCTTCGGACGGGCGAATTCACCGCCCGCTCCTTATCCCGAACTCTCGGGGATCATCACGTGCACTCCTATCTATACCCTCCAGTTTGGCCGAATTGTTGCAGTGTCTGGCGTGGATACATTACTCGGACCACGTTCCAAGCGCTACGATCGTCTCTCATGACAGGCAGTGGCCCAAATGCTCCTGATGGTATTCTGGAGGTTCAAGGTTGATGGTTGATCTTATACTGCACGTAATATACAAGCGACCACGACTAGTATAAGCAGCACGACATATACTTTGAGCACATGCCAAGTGCCTGCATTGTATGCAGCTGGATGCAGCCGACTCTAATGCACCAGACATGCACACTATGACTCTTCCCTCTTGGGTATAATCCAAGCAACAGAGATATGGATATGTGCAGTAGACAAAATGGCATAAACAAGAACTCACCCACCACGAATCATAGCGTTGCATTTGCTACCGCGCCATCAATGAGATTCAGTACATGGAGACTCAGTCTCGGGACTCCGTTTTTTTTTTTTTTTTTTTTTACCTCAAGACTATCGCAGACCACAAGGTCCACCGAGAATGCATGGCAGAGACATCAAGATATAGGTTGAGGCTGAGCAGAGGAGGTAGCTATAGAACACTTATAGAAGGGATGCACCTCATCGAAGCGGGAACACCTGATTTGGGCTGCCGTGTTGGCATCGGATCCCCGCCGGAGAACTTGATCAACTACCAATCCCTGATAAGAGATGGTCTGGACATCGATGGGGTCATTGGAGCTAAGACTTAGCAAGATTAAGCGTGATAAGCTCATCCCAGGCTAGAACTTATACTAATCATGGGCTCCATGGCTTTCATATTGTCAGCATGACTGCGCATGATTGCACTTGACAGTGCTACCAGAGGTCAATCTCAAGAGAGTGAGTGCGGCCATGGGCTCTACCTCCGCCACGGATCTATGCGGCGACAGTCTGTTCGGTCCAGTCATTCGACCAGGTTGTCGCGGAGGCTTTGACTTCACCGCTCTATTCGAGGCAGCCATCTTGACTATCGCCCCGGCTGCTTGCTTTCTCCTTTTGTCACCATTCAGGCTTTTCCAGCTTTACCAACGATCTCCTAAAGTTCTTTCCTCTAGTCTACGTCTCCCAATCTTAGTATGTGAGATTCCCAGATGCTTGTTTGAGCAGGTTGAGGACTAACCAAGCATTGAACGCAGTCTCTCGCTGCTATCTTAGCAGCCATACAAATTTCCCTCCTCGTACTTGTCGCAACCGAGCATGCTCCCCAGAAGCATACGTCCCTCGCGGGTGCCGTTCTCGAACTTGTAGCGGCACTTGTTCTCGTGGCTATTGTTGATCTGGAGCATGTTCGTTCCATCCGGCCGTCGTTCCTTGTCACTGCCTACCTGTTAACAACTCTGCTATTCGATATTGCCCGTGTACGCACCTCTTGCTTATCATCCGATAGCCAGCCATACTCCGCCTGTCTTTCTACATCCCTCGCCATCAAGCTAGTCTTACTGATACTTGAGAATATTGGAAAACGGAAATGGCTTGTACCAAGCGAGAAAGCCAAGTCTGGGGAGAGCGTGAGTGGTCCGTTCAGTCGAGGCTTATTCACATGGTTAAACAGCCTCTTGCGAAATGGCTACTCAATCATACTCACGAGCGATGCGCTGCCCACCATTCACGAAAAACTCCAGTCTCGTGATCTGTCCACCCGGTTCGCTGATTCCTGGGCAAGCTGCAACCAGAGTCGTAAAAATGCTTTGTTCCTGGCTGTCATTAGATGCCTGCGATGGGAGATCGCGGGGATTGCTTTCCCCCGTCTCTGTGTAGTAGGTTTCAGTATTGCACAGCCATTCCTGGTGGGAAAGATCGTGACCGTTCTGGAGCGAACCGACTCGCTCGCCCGGGACATGGCCTACGGTCTAATTGGGGCTACCGCGATTGTCTTCGTTGGGGTTGCTGTGAGTCTCTCAAATATGGCTGGGCGTTCGGCGTATCTTGTGAAGCGAATGGCTTATTAACTCATCTCACTAGGTGTTCACCGCGAGCTATCAGCATCTAGGGTACCGTGCTACAACTATGCTTCGAGGTGGCCTCATGGCTTTAACTTATGAACATATGATGAATCTTCCCTTGGGCACCACAGACGAATCCAGTGCCATGTCCCTTATGGGCACCGACATTGAGATGCTTGCCGAATACTTCCTGTCTACAGTATGCGAGACATGGGCCAATGTCCTACAGCTGGGCCTGGCCACTTGGCTCCTGCAGACCCAAGTGGGTGCTGTCTGTATCGCTCCTTTCGTGGTAGTAATGAGTAAGCCTTCCCAGATAAATTGTGCGCGTTTCGTGCAAAACATGGCTGATCATTCGCAATAGTCTTCACGGCAGCGTCGTTCGGCATGGGCAATGCCGTCACTGCCAGGCAAAAGACGTGGCTGCAGGCTACAGAGAAGCGCGTGAACTTTACCTCCGCTATTCTTGGTTCTATCAGGAACGCGAAGTTTCTTGGTTTGTCCGAGATTATGGGAACAATGATTGATGCTTTGCGTGAGGAAGAACTCACTATCTCGAAGAGATTCCGCCGGATTCAGACAATCCGTGTATGCATGGGTATGTATGTCCTCAGACTGCTATAACTAGGACTGACACAAAACGATCCAGTCAACCTTCCGTCGATCGTTGGCCAACTTGCAACATTTGCAGCTTACGGTATAGTAGCTGCAGTAAATGGCTCCGGGGGGTTCCATGTCTCGCAAGCCATCACATCACTTTCATTGGTCAACTTACTGGTCAATCCGCTCCAGCAACTTCTGTTGGCGATCCCAGATACATTTGCATCAATCGGATGTTTACATAGGATACAGGACTTTCTCAGGCAACCGAGTCGCATTGGTGAGTGTTCTTGACGTTTTTCATTCAATTCCCAGGTTGCATCCCAAGCTAATGTGCTTTTTACAGAGAAGAGGAAATTAGCTCCGCTGCTAGCAAGCCCAGCAACACCATCCTCAAGTCTATCCGGTATTGAGCTCTCTGCTCTCTCTTCCCCCACCACTGTCCCGCTTTTAAAGCAAGCCGCCATGCATATCTCCCTGGAAAACGTCCGTTTTGGATGGAAGTCTTCGTCAATGGACAAATCTGGTGTTACCATGACCCTCGAGCAATCTGATAGAGGAAACCTCGTCACGATTGTCGGTCCCGTCGGTAGTGGTAAGTCCACTTTTTTGAAAGGTCTTGCCGGTGAGACGCCTGTACTGGATGGAAAGCTCGTTATCAATCATCCGGACATAGCGTTCTGCGAGCAAATGCCATGGCTTGCCAATGCATCAATTCGGGATAACATTGTGGGCGACAGCGGATCATCCTCATTTGACGAAAGATGGTATCACACGATCTTGAAAGCATGTGCGCTCAACCTTGATATTGGGAGAATGCCAGCGGAAGACCGGACGCTTGTAGGCAGCAAGGGGGCGAAACTGAGCGGAGGGCAAAGGCAAAGAATAGTTCGTTACTAAACTGCCTGACAAGGACTTGAATACAAGCCCATTATTAACATCAACAGGCCATCGCACGCGCTCTCTATTCTCGCAAACGCATCGCTTGTTTTGATGACGTCTTCAGTGGTCTTGACAATGTGACTTCCCAGCAGGTGTTCACTAATGTCTTTGGCCCGAATGGTCTGCTACGTCAGCTGGGTTGTACCATTTTCCTGACCACCCACAACAGTAAGAATCTTCGTCAAATGACGGCCTTACATGTTCAACTGCGGAGTCGTTGCTAATTTGAACATAGCTCAGCACCTACCGCAGTCCGACTTCATCATTGTTCTGGGCAATGATGGTGAAGTTCTTGAGCATGGCACATATTCCCAGCTTCAAAGTCACATGGGAGGTTACATTAACAAGCTTCATTTGAGCACAGGGCGACTAGGTAACCCAGAAGCGACCAATACTGTTCAGCCACAGTCTGAGCTCACGACGATCACTGCAGACGCTGGAACCGTCTCAGATCCTTCTGATAGCGACCGGCGGACAACCGACACTTCTGTGTACAAGTTTTACTTCTCTAGTCTGGGTTGGCTGAGAGTAGCCACCTTTGTGTTTTTGTTGACTGTCAAGTCAGCCATTGGCGGATTTCTCTGTGAGTCATCCCCTCCCTTACTTACAATATTCTATTTATCATGACACGCTCACGTCTGAGTAGACATTTGGGTGGAACGTTGGTCGAGCAGCAACGACAGTGCCTCAGGATCGCGTTCAGGATACTGGCTGGGAATATATGCGGCATTGGCCGCAGTCGAAGCAAGCTCGCTTGCGCTTGCTATATTGTATGTTCAATCCTCATTCGTCTCTAGTACTTGCGCTGACAGTAGATGCAACTCTTCAGCTGGACATGGGTCATCATTGTCCCGGCTGCCTCGAAACACCTTCATTCTACTGTGCTCCGCGCTTGCATGAGGTGAGCTTTTATCTCATAGATGGGGAAAGGCCACGGTGACTGAGAACTAACAATCTCAAGTGCTCCCTTGTCTTATTTATCAAATGTCGAAACTGGAGCTCTTGTAACTCGCTTCAGCCAAGACATGCGTCTAGTAGACATGATTCTGCCCCGTGGGTTCATCTCGTTAGGGTTCCGTAAGTAAACAGCTCATGAACAAGATGGAGTCACTTTCATATTGACGTCTTTGAACTCAGAGCTCTTCAGTGCCGTCGCTCAAGGCGCCATTACCATCGCTTCCTTGCCTTATATCGCTGCAGCTCTGCCATTTCTCATCGCGCTGCTGGGCCTACTTCAACGATTTTATCTGCGCACATCTCGCCAACTAAGGTTGTTAGAGTGAGTTCCATCTGTTCTACCTTCCTTCTCCTTGCTGAAGCTTTGGCTTCCTGGATGCCTCGATTCTGTCGTACTGATTCACTCTAGAATCGAGCTCAAGAGCCCCTTATACACCCACTTCCTCGAGTCTCTCTCTGGAGTGACCACCATCCGCGCCTTCTCATGGACGCCCGTGGCCGTGTCTAGGATGCTTGCTATGCTTGATACGGCCCAGAAACCTTATTATCTTCTCCTGTGCATACAACGCTGGCTCTCACTGGTGCTGAATCTTATCGTTGCTGCCCTAACAGTCATTATGGTCGGTACAGCTGTCGGCGTTCGTCATCACGTCAACCCAGGTTTGCTGGGTATTGCTCTCGTCTTGATGGTCGAGCTAGGTCAAGTCCTTTCGGAGGTGATCCAGAACTGGACGCTGCTCGAAACATCGCTGGGTGCGATTGCTCGGATCAAGTCGTTTTCCGAAGACACCCCCACTGAAGAAGACCCAACTCTTGAGACTCATGAACCACTTGCGGATTGGCCCAGTTGTGGTCAAATTGAGTTTGTTGATACGAGCATTGCGTATGACACCTCCGAGTCAGCGACCGCTGTGCTGAGCGACATTCGCCTTCACTTCCGTGGTGGGGAGAGGATCGGGCTATGTGGTAGAACTGGAAGGTGAGTTGCAGTGTTTCCGAGCATCATCTCGGGTTTCATTTCGACGTTAGCTGACCGCGAATCACTACATACCAGCGGCAAAAGCAGTCTCGCACTTTCTCTACTTCGCCTTAACGAGGTTGTGTCTGGGCAGATTCTGATTGACGGACAAGACATCTCACTTATCTCCCGATCTTCGATTCGCCAGCGCATCAGCAGTCTCAGTCAAGAGCCCTTCCTATTTCCAGGGACTATCCGGCAGAATGCGGACCCGTCGAACGCTGCTACGGACGCGGACATTGTTGATGCTTTGCGCTCCGTTGGAGTGTGGGATGCACTGGCGGCGCATCACAAGGGCTGCAACAGTGACGAAGAGGTTTTCGGAGCCAAACTAGACGAGAGCATCCTGTCAGAAGGCCAGAAGCAGCTGTTCTGTCTGGCACGGGCTCTGTTAAAGAAGAGCAAGATTCTGATTCTCGACGAGCCGACGAGCAGGTATAGTCTTTGTTCATCTCTGTCATTCTGCTTTTTCGCACGCTGACCCACATATTGTATGCAGCCTGGACAAGGAGACAGATGCTCGAGTGCAGAAGCTCATCCGCGAGTTGTTTCGAGACTGCACGGTGATCATGGTCGCTCATCGGATCCAGACTCTACTCGACTTTGACCAGGTCGTGGTTTTGGACAGCGGACGGGTGGTCGAAGTGGGACATCCACGCGGACTAGCCCGCAGACCTGATGGGGCTTTCGCTAAACTGTTGGCTTTTGAGGTCTGAAGTCGAGTGCTTAGAGAGTTGAGGACATTATCAGAGCAGGTGACTAGGCAGGTAGATGAGCGTTCTCAGATTATACAGGTTATCGAGGGGTTTCTGAGGACTTCCGCGTGCAATTCCATCTTAAGATAGGTGTCAACTGCTACATACTATATCAAGTAAAGAGTGCCGGTGCCCAGCCAGTGTCCAGACTCCACGGTTAGCCATCCGTCCCATGGTTCTTGCTGATAAGCCCCTCCTTGCCTGAACGGGACTAGCGCCACAGTCCGCCATCAGCTCCCCCCAGAATGAGCTCATTCCCCACCAATGACTGTGTTCTGCCCCAGAAGCGGTGGCAGATTGCGTGATCGAGGGGGGTTTCCCTCCAGTTCCAACATGGAGGGGCAGGCAGTTCTCAGCCCTCCAGCATTGAGGGGAAACCAGAGAGTGTGTCCGAATTCGGGGATGTTGTCCACGGCACCCGCAACTATTTAGCCTCTCTTTCATCCTTCTTTCCCCCCCTGCTCCCCTCGTACCTCAACTCACTCACTCCCTCCCTCCTTCTCACCACTTCTACCCGCATCCTCCCTAAATCTCTACCATACCATTCACAATGGCTCAGGATCGTGCTCCTCCGTAAGTTGACCCGCTGCTCACCTTGACCGTGTTTGTATAGATCAAGCCAATTTTGACCGGCTCTTCTCAAATAGTCTCCGTCTCGGCTCTGAGGCCCCTAACTTCGAGGCTGATTCCTCCAACGGCCCCATCACCTTCCACGACTTCATCGGCGACAGCTGGACTGTTCTCTTCTCCCACCCCGTGAGTGATTGGAGTTCCGAACTATATTGTTAGGGCACCGGTGACTAACCCATGCGCCATTGGAACAGGATGACTTCACTCCCATCTGTACCACCGAGCTTGGTGCTTTCGCTAAGCTCGAGCCCGAGTTCACTGCTCGCGGTGTCAAGTTGATCGGTCTGAGTGCCAACGGTACCGAGTCCCACCACGCCTGGATCAAGGACATCGACGAGGTCACCGGCTCCAACCTCAAGTTCCCCATTATCTCCGACCCCGAGCGCAAGGTTGCCTACCTGTACGACATGGTCGACTACCAGGACACCACCAATGTTGACTCCAAGGGTGTGTATTTGGTTCTTCCGAGCTTCGTTTTGGCTGCCCGTCCGCTAACAGAACCCCAGGCATGGCTCTCACCATCCGCTCCGTTTTCATCATCGACCCCAAGAAGAAGATCCGTCTCATCATGACCTACCCCGCCTCCACCGGCCGTAACACTGCTGAGGTCCTCCGTGTCATCGATGCCCTCCAGACCACCGACAAGCACGGCGTCACCTGCCCCATCAACTGGACTCCTGGCGATGACGTTGTCATCCCTCCCCCCGTCTCCACCGAGGAGGCCCAGAAGAAGTTCGGCGACATCCGCATTGTCAAGCCGTGAGTACCCTTTGGCCCCCAGCCTGACAATTCTTGGCTTTACTAACTCGTGGCGAAAGTTACCTTCGTTTCACCAACCTGAAGCAGTAAATCAAAAATGTCGAGTTCAGCCGAAGATTGGAAGGATGTTTGCAGTGGTGCAGTTCGATTACAGGACTGGTGCTGAGAAAAGGGAGACAGATTTGATACGAAAGTTATGAAAAAATATGAGATAATATTTTATACCCTATGGTTCCAGATGGGGTAGCGAGGAGTAGTTCAAGGCCGGCTGCAGGAAGTTGATCTTTATGCATGCAGGAACCCAGCCTGGCCAGTAGTATCTGCTGGAGTCTGTGGTGTTTCTGCAGGCTGTACAGTAGGTTCCTGGGACGAGCTGCCAGTCCCCGCACACAGTCGGAAGGGAGGATTGGAGCCATGGTTGGCCGTCTGGGTCCATCCGGGTGGCGATAACAACATCAGGTCGTTGCTATGTCGTCCTGCATAGTTCACTTCACCTCATATGGGAGGCAGAGGGGCTTGTTTCTGAGGTCAGAAACAGCTGACGGTAAGCCACATGTTGCCATTGTCTAGAACTTCTCTGTATGTGAAATGGGGGCCAGTGGTTCGTATGGATGAGGATTGTTTGAGTAACCACTGCACCGGCAGCCCACCGCTGAGCTGAGCCGCATTGGAGGACAGGTGGCTGCGTGGTAGTGGACTGGTGGTGACTAGATGTTGGGGGTGTGGGTGTGGGAATCCGAGGACCCATTCATGCGAACTGTGTAGATGACATTTGTGATGATTATGATGATGATGATGATGATACTCATAGTAAAAAGGCAATTGACTTTCCATGTGTCGGTCTTGTACAATACGTGCCTGGACCGTAGTTTGTTGGACAGACCGCCTTCCTTTCTGGAATCAATCCTTCTCCTCCTTTTCCTTTTCCTTCTCCTTTCCCTTTTTCCCCACCCGCCTTTTTTTATTCATAGGGTCGCTTCTCGCAATCTTAATCCTTCTATCTCTTCCCCCATCAATTCGAACAATAAATTTGTGCTGAGGTCGTGGTGATCCTCGCAGCATTTGTCACACCCTCACAAGCATTGTCTATCTCATTGATAAGGAAACAACTGGACTATCTGGTTCCGTTCTCCTCCGCAGCGGGGACAGTAGTCACCGATACCGATCGAGTTCGACTTTCCGCCCGCCTGTCCCCTCCCCCCCCCCTGATCATCCCTCCTCCGGTCGCACTGCCCCCAGTCCCATTTAGACGTCGAAGATCACCCGACCGCTTTCCCACCAACGTTGCTGTCAAAATTTCTTTCTAGGTCTGTGCTGCTGTGGCACGCAAGGGTGGCGTCTAACCCTCTTTTACGACTGTGATGATCCTCGATCGCCTCGACCCTTTCCCTTCCTCTCGTTAAACGCCATATCCCCGGAAAAGCAACCCTTGTCCCTGGGTACTACAAGCGGGCGGCACTTTCTCCTACGATACGCGCAAAGAGTTACGATAGCGACCAAGTTCTACCGAGCGGTCTCCTCGATTACAAGGCGCTCACTCATCTTTCCTGCGGGTTGAAGGTAAACAGACCTCGGAAATACCCTCCAAGATGATGTCCCGAAGCCAGTCGAGCCTGGGCTTCTTGGATACAGGCAGAGACGACCCATCTGCGACGGGGATCTCGCCTCGACTTCAGCAAACCCAACAGCAGCCGCAATCCTCCAACTCCGGTCCGATCAACCTGTCAGGCCTGGTATGCAATGTCCGTCGGACCACCGGCAGAGAGCCGCACCCTCTTGTGGGCGCAACGACAACCATTTTAGGCGATAAGCTATACGTGTTCGGAGGCCGGGTGCTCTCCAAGAGCCGTCCGCAGTTGACGTCGGACATATACGAGCTGGACTTGATCCGGCGTCACTGGACCAAGATCGAGGCGACCGGCGATATCCCCCGCCCGCGGTATTTTCACAGTGTCTGCGCCCTGGGGGACCATAAACTCGTCTGCTATGGCGGTATGTCGCCTGCTCTCAATGTGTCCAAGGACCCTGCTGCTGCGAGCGGGGGAGCGGGGGGTCAGGATGCTCAACCGGAAGTCGTGGTCATGTCAGACATCCACATCTTTGATGTGCCCACCCGGACCTGGACCCGCGTCCCGGCCATCGATTCCCCCCAGGGTCGCTATGCACACTGTGCGACGATTCTGCCCTCCAGCGCCCATTTCACTTCAGCCACCGCACCTCTTTCGGCTATACACCATAACCCGGCGTCTTCGAATCCGCACCAGGGCACGATCGGAGTGGATATTGATGGTTTTGGGGGTGCCGAGATGGTCGTGGTCGGAGGACAAGATAGTTCCAATCATTATATCGAGCAGATCAGTGTCTTCAACCTTCGGAGTTTGAAGTGGATGAGCACTAGCACGCTTGGCCGCAGCTGTGGTGCTTACCGCAGCGTGGTTGCTCCCTTGCTGGGCATGAGTGTCTCGGAGATTGGCTCTGCGGCTGAGGATCGAGATGCACAGGAGCCCATTGAGGACTCCCAGGTCGAGGGATGCCCTATGCTTATTTACTCTAATTACAACTTTCTGGATGTCAAGTTGGAGCTTCAAGTACGCTTGCCGGACGGTCGCTTGGTCGAGAAACCCATGCAAAGTCAGGCCTCGCCCCCGGGGTTGAGGTTCCCCAACGGAGGCGTCATCAATGGTCATTTCGTTGTCAGTGGTACCTATCTGACTTCCTCGAAGCAGGAATATGCTCTCTGGGCACTGGACTTGAAGACTCTCACTTGGGGTCGAATCGATGCTGGCGGATCGGTCTTCGGTCAGGGTAGTTGGAACCGCGGAGTCCTATGGTCGCGAAGAAATACGTTTGTTATTCTGGGCCACCGGAAACGCAGCTTGGTGGAAGATTATAACCACCGGCGTATCAACTTCTCACACGTGTGCATGGTAGAATTGGAGGCTTTCGGTCTCTACAACAATGCGTGCCGGACTGCGCCTACCTCGGGCTACGTTTCCTACAGTGCGCCGTCTGTACCGGCTTCTCTCCAGTCGAAGCTCACCAAATTGACCTCTGGAGGACGACCGTTCTCTGTAGCCTCAGACGAACTAGGCCGTCTCGCCCACTCGCTACCTGAAATGGCAGATATGGAGCTCCAAGCGGTGGGAGGGGAACGCATCCCCGTCAACTCGCGCATCCTGACACGCCGATGGGGTCCCTACTTTATTCAACTACTCCGCGAATCCTGCGATGGGGGAGTCTCTGACCCTGCTACTCTTCGTCCTGCGGTTGCCATGTATCCCAGCCGCAACTCAAGCATTACCATCACCCCCTCAATCGGTCAGAACAGCAACTATTCCAACGCCAGCACGCTTGTCAGTAACCGCTCCGTCACCTCTAAATCATTACTAGCGAACCTCGAGATACCCTCTGCGCATTCTCTGTCGCCAACCGCTCGTCCCCGTGTACTCTACCTACCTCACACTTACCTCACCCTCCAAGTCCTCGTCTACTATTTCTACACATCCTCCCTTCCCGCCGTGGGCTCCTCTCTCTGCACCCCACAGATTCTCTGCTCCCTCCTCCAACTTGCCCGCCCCTATCAGGTCGACGGCCTCCTTGAAGCCACCGTCGAACGCCTCCATCAAATGCTCGACGGCCGCAACGCCGCGGCCGTCTTCAACGCGGCCGCCATGGCCGCGGGAGGAGGCCGTGGGACCGGGTTCGCCAGCGGGCTTGGTGGCACCTTGGAAACCCTCAACGGCGCCCACGCGGCCGCCACCGCTGCCGCGCAAGACCCCTCTGCCTTGACCACCACGACCACCAACACCACCGCCACCACGCAACCCTCCTCAGCAGCCCAAAGCCACCTCACCTCCGACTCGTCCGACACGGAACACGGCACCACCGCGTCGGCCGCCCTCTCGACGGTCAGCAGCGCCAGCGGCGTCGGAGCCTCCTCCACCTCGCGCGGCATCCCTCTCCGCATCAACACCAACATCTTCAGCCGCCGCCAACGCCACAGCGACCGCGAGCGCGCACGTGAGCGGGAACGCGAGCGGGAACGCGAACGCGAACGGGAGGTGGAGCTCGAGCGCGAACGGGACCGCGAGGACTCGATGAGCAACGCCAGCACCGCCACCTCGGCCTCGGCCTCGACGAACACCAGCTTCGACCAGTCCGACTCAGAGTACGGCGGCGGCGAATCCGCCGGCCGCGCCCGCTCCTCGTCGCATCACCGCCGCAACACGGACGCTGAGCTCCGGCCCGAGCGCGAGATCTGGACCGGCGACCTCAGCAGCGTCATCGGCCTGCAGAAGCGGGGTCTTCGCGGGCTGATGGAGGGACGCCGGCTGCGGGAGCGCACGGCCAACCCCACGCCCAACGGCAGTAATGGGGTGAAACCGGGTAGTGCGGCGGTGAGCTTGAATGGGAACGGAGTGGAGTAGTAGTAGGCCTTCAGCATTGGGGTTTGCAGGAATTCCTTTTTTTTTTTTTTTTCATTGAAAGATCTTCATTCTAAGAGAGCGGGAGAGAGAAAGTGCGTGCGTTTTCCATATTCGAGTATATATTGTATCTAACTTCACTTGGACTGGATAATTTGGGGGCCGGAAGCAAAGTTGGTAGGTAGTAATGATGAACGATGCATGACATATCTCTTTTGGATTACTACTTGATTTCGTTTTGTTTGGTGGGTTGGGTGGGTGGATGGCTTGAGTCAGAGGGAAGGATTATTCCATACTCGGCCACGTGGGTTGGTTTGAGTGGCATGGATGCGTTGTGAAGATGTACAGTACCTAATGGGTATCTGTTGGGTAGGGATACCCAATTGCGCAGGTCATTGTTTCGGAAATGGCCTCTGGCCTCAGAAATCAACTGTGACTTGGACTGTAGGTACTGCAGCCTCCAGTGGTCACGGGTACGTACGGAAGATGTTGCAAGCGTGAACCACCCAGAGAATCCAACTATCATCCACGTATCACGTCTTCAATTCTACGCCGTAACATACAACTGCAAAACACAGAAAGGAAAGGGAAAATCTCGTTCTTGAAAAAAAAAGAAAAAAAAAAAAAAACATAAGATAAGACGTTCTTAACTTCAACCCCTCGGATGGACATTACTTCGTGCACTGGACAGCACCCACGCCTTCCAGAATAACCACTGGTCCTGGCGCACGCGGAGGCCCGTGTCGCCCAGATCCTCGGGGGTGTAGGTGCGCAACTGCTCCAGGGTGGCGCGGTCGAAGGAGCGCCGCGTGCTGCCGCGCGGCGCGAACGACAGGGAATCCACGTTCAGGACGGCGTCGCGCGAG